GATAACTGTTTATATGCGGGTTTGTCTCTGTGTTTTCTATTCTGTTCCACTGGTCTTCTTGCCTCTTTTTGCTGCCAATACCATGCTGGGTTTTTTTGGGGGGAAGTAGGGGGATACTCCATACTGAACTCAGGAGCACTCAACCACTGAGCCACATCCCCATCCCTATTTTGTATTTTATTTAGAAACAAGATCTCACTGAATTGCTTATCACCATTGCTGAGGCTGGCTTTGAACTCAAGATCCTCCTGTCTCAAACCCCTAAGGTTGCTGAGATTATAGGTGTGTACCACTGTGCCTAGCTTCATGCTGTTTTTGGTACTATATCTCTTCAGTATAATTAAGGTCTGGTATTGTGATGCTTCCTGCTTCAATTTTCTAAGATTTTTTTTTTTTTTGGCTACTCAGGGTTTCTTATTTTTCCAAATGCATTTCATGATTGCGTTTTCTATTTCCATGAAGAATGTCATTGGAATTTTAATAATAATTGCATTGAATCTGTAATTGCTTTTGGTACCATGTAGATGACATTTAAAACCAGATGAGATGTCCCAGTGGAGCACAGAAGTATTAATACAGAAAGTATGACAGTGCCATAAGGCACATGTGAACAAAAATACACACACACACACACACACACAAGGAATCTGAGATATAGCCCAGGATAAGAGGCATGAGGCATGATCTTTGGAGCCAGAAGGCCTAAATTCAAATCCTAACTCAACCATTGTCTTTGTGACTTTGGGCAAAGTACTTATCATCTTTTGGTCTCAGTTTCTTCATCTGTAAATGGGAACTACTTCAGAGGATATAACAATCTTTAAATAAATTAGTACTTCAAAAGCATTTTGAATAATACCTGGCCTTTAGTAAACACAGCTTATTTTTTGTTAAGTGTGAAATGTTATAATTCTTTTAGTACCACATATCGATCTTCATTCTTGCTCTATTTTATGTCTCTCCTATTTCTTACTTTTTCTGAAGGCTATGGTTTGTTTATCTTATTCTGCTCCTAAATTCTAGTGGGTCCTAAATGAAGTATTATTAAATTCACTGAGAAAAGTAAATCTTAAGAAAGATAAAATCAATCCCTTTCTTCACAAAACAATTACCTTGTAAAACAACCTTAGGAAAGTTCTCTCTAGGCATATAGCAATATAATCACCTGTTTCTAAAGCTAAATTGATGAACAATTTTCTCCAAAGAGATGTACCTCCTCATTTTCTTCCTGTGCTTTGTTTTTCAGTTTAAGAGACGAAAATTACTGAAATGAGCTTTTCATACATTCAGACAGTTTCTGCATTTAAAATTAAGAATTTGTCTTTGGCAAATGACCATTGGGGTTTATTCTGTTCCAGGAACTGTGCTAGATGCTCTAAGTACATAACTCCTTATTCTTCACAGTAACCCCTTGAGTTGGTTCGGATGTTTGCTACAGACTTGAGGAAGATGAGAGTGGTCAGGTTCTCTGAAACATATCAAAGCTAAGGAACTTGACTCAATGCAATGAATCATGACTAAGCAACCAGTTACAAAGCAAAGCATCACCCAACCTGGGTCAGTTGTCACTTGCTCTGCAGTATCTTCATGTTGAAGATGAGACGTGTGGTAGTTGCTGGTGGTGGTTCCCTTCCAAGATTTCCTGCTCTTGGTACCTAGGAATTATATTCTGTGGCTTAGAGTGACTAATGAGCAATTATCCCTTATTTCTGCTCATGTTTATGGAGCATCTCCTGACTGGACCTATAGCAGGCTGAACACAAAACTATTGGGAGTCTCTTATCTAAGAAGAGATACAGGTTTAATATTTTTACCAGTCTGGGGATAGGAAAGATGGTGGAATGAGACAGACATCATTACCCATACATTACATGTATGATTGCACGAATAGTGTGACCCTACTTTGGGTACAATCAGAGAAGTCAAAAACTTGTGCTCCATTTGTGCACAATGAATCAAAGAGCATTCTGCTGTCATGTATAACTGATTATAACAAATAAATGAATTCAAAAATATATTTTACCAGTCTTACTCAGACTCTAAGTTCACTTCTCAATCCAAAACGATTGTCCTGAAAATATATCATAATGATGGAGGTAAGTATTAGAAGCTCAGATGGAATTGTCCCTAAAGATGAAGCTGTTAGAGGGAGTTAAAAGGAGAAACTTGGGAGATAACTAGATTGTGCAAAGGGAAGAAAAGGAAATCAGTATTCTGGTATGGAAATAGAACATTCAAAGGCACCAATGCAAAGTTAAAATAGATGTGTCTGCAAAATAAATAGATGATTTTTCTATAATAAAGCATTGAGTAAGAAAAAGAACAATGTGGCAAAAATAGGTGTGGGCACATTTGTGAAGCATGAAAATGTGTGGGCATTTTCCTGTAGTTATGGAAATTGTCAAGAAAGGTGGTGTCATTACTGTAGCATTTTAGCTGTCAGTAGGTTCAGAGGCTGAAATGTTGGTGTAGAAAGAAATTCAAATTATTCTGAATTGCTAAATCTTGGAGAAATCTTGATAGGCATTAAAAATCAAAGTTGCCTCAATTTGAGAAGTTATTTCCATTTCCTTCCAACAAGATAATTATATGACATGCGTTAGCACACTTTTTCTATAAAAGACATATAGCAAATATTTTAGGATTGTAAACATAAAGTCTTGGTCACAACTAATTCCTCAACTTACTTCTGTAGCACAAAAGAATCCTTAAACAATATTTATATGAAATAGAATGGCTGCATTACAATGAGTCCAATGAGCTTTACTGGGGATACTAAGATTTGAATCTCATATAACTCTCACATGTCACAAAATAGCATTCCTTTGATATTTTCCAACATCTTTTAAAAATGTAAAGACCATTCTTAATTTGTGATTTGTGTAAAAGAAGATGGTATATAGGATTTGATCAGTAAGTCAAAGTTTGCAAATCTCTAGTTTACACAATCAATCAAAACTCTCAATCAAACATTATTTTGAAAACTGAGTTCTCTTCTGATGCTATTAAACATTTGGAAGGAGACAATCAAAATGGTAAGTGAAACAGTAGAGAAGGAGCTGCTAATTAGCTAGCTAAACTAGCCATAGGAATCACTGGGATCAGTGGGACATGTGTCCCTCTATGTTCCCATCCACAGCAAAATGTCTGAGTCCTTCAGAAAAAAAGAAAAGTTTATCAATAATTACTATTTCAAATACTCTCTGAACACAACATTGGGACAATTTCAGAGCAAAGACAAAATGTAGTAGGCCTCGCTTTTATTCCAGTTGTTTATGATATCCAAAAAGAATTTGTATAATATAGTTCTTAAATATATGGTGTGGGTGGCTCAACGGTACCATTTTACACAAGCCAATCACACACATACCCTAAATCTGAAAAATGATGGGCTGAAATGATTGACAAGTCTAGAGAAAAGGAATTCCATTATTGTTCACATGTTATCTTCTGTTCAAGGGTTATAAGACCAAAAATGAGGGAGAAGTGATATTATCGTGATAGTTCAAATAAGTAAGCAGCCTTCTTAGTTCTTATATAGAATCCCTTTAATTTCTGTCATGTCATTTTCCTTAGATCACTTGGCACTTGCCATGTTTTGTAAAGCAAGTGCAGCCAAATATTTTTATTACTTATCTTCAACTTTTTCTCTCCACTGCTGTCGGCTTATCTATATTACAAATAAGAAAAATAACACATTATGGGAATTCATTTACATGAAGGTAGAGATGTCAATAACATTGGAGTCTACAAAAGGAAAAGGTTACATAAATATACCCCTCTAAACTATTTGCCCCAACTATTGTTTTTATCTTCTCCCCCACCTGCAGCTCTGCAGGGGGATTGCTAGGGCACTGGCTCCCTATAAAAGTTCCCCTGCTGCTATGATTGTTCACCCAAAGCAAGATGGCATGAGGAAGAAACTCATGCCACCTCTTCCCATCGTGCACCAAGGCATAATTCTAATAAGCTATATTTTTCCAAATACAGAATGAAGTAAAAACAAAATAGTGATTTAAACTAATTCTAAGACAGTCACTTTAATTGTCCATTTTACTATGTAAAATAGTCAGTTGATATGCAGTAATGCTGCAGAACTAAATTTCTTGCCATTTCCTTATGACTATTCATATATTTTTAAATATTTTAAAACCTGAAACCAGCATGTATTTAAAATGTCTTCAATATCTGTCTACATTTAACCATAATTGTACATTAAGAAACCCACAATGAAAATAACATGACCAATATATGCCAACTAAGTGGTCTCCTTAATTATTAATTTGAAAATATGTACAAATGGATCTTCTCAAGTCTTATTTCTCTTTTTAAAAAATACCAGTTATTAGCTGGAAGCAATTCTAGCCCATTTTATGTGAGGAAAAATATCTGTAGTGTTTTTTTTTAAGTAGCTTTTTCAAGATGTCACAACTATCCAGAACCTTCAAGATTAGACTTCACTTTTGATATGTTATGAGGTCGCGAGAATACCCAGTTCTTAGGAAGAAGAACCCTAATCTATGACCCAACACTACCACATCCCCTACTGCCACTAAATGACCACATATGACATGCTGCTTCTCTCTTCATCACAGAGTATTTACCCTCAAAATCAATTATTCAGCCAATGTGTAGCCAAAAACATTATACATTTTTTCGCTATTACAACTTCAAATAGTTATATTCAAAGTTCCACAAATTATCACGAATAAAGAAAATAAGATACAGAGAGTACGCACTGGAATTAGACTAACACTATTTTCATTTTAATCTACTATTTAAATGTTACCCATTCCAAGGCTCTCTCATTTTACTTCACCTATGTATTATCCAGCCAGAATTTGAATTAGTTCAGATTAAATTTTAATATATTATTTACAGCATTTTCTACTGCTAAACCATGTATTTCCATCCAATGAGTCAGATTCATGTAAAAGCAATTTTGAGTGTACAGCAAATTGTTATATTAAAATAAATCTTTCATATATTTTTTTCCATAGACTTGAATCAAAGGAGCCTTTCCTGTCTGTTGGGTGAGTATGTCTAAATATTTTAAATATTAATTATTTAATTCAAATTCACAAGGTCTTCTGAGATGATATTTGCAGTCATTTAGCCCCATATTCAAAACCATAACATGTCATTGCATGCCACATTGCTCTGTTTGTTTTATACAGACTTAACTAAAACGCTCCTCAGGCTGTTTTGTGACCTCAGAAATTCAGCTGCTGGATGCATGTGAAATGCTACATCTTTTGTAAAAACTAAACAAATAAGTGAATTTCCGTATTCTCATTATGGAAAGATGCACAGATTGGTTTTTTAAAATTCCCCTGAACCACAGCTGCACTCTTCCCAGTCTGTTTACCCATTTGTATACTATTTCTTTTTAGTCTATGCTACTTAGTGTTCCATCACTCTCCTCCAAAGCTTTCTTCAAAACCTATATCTTTTCTCCTTTTCTCTCATTTAACTTTATTTCTCCAATTGACTCACACTCTTTGCTTCTCTGAACAAGAAGCTGAAGAACCCTGAGGCAGATTTGGGTAAGACAAGTGCTTGCCTCTTCTGATGGGAATTGTTCTGAGTCACAGTGCATGTCCTATGTCAACATTTTGTTGACAAGGATGTAAATGTGCTGTTTTGGGGCATTTAGAACTAATTAAGAATAAGCTATATTGTTTTTATCTGTTCTATCAAATAATTATTAGACATGTATTCAAATTTCTTATGAAGGGAAATTGCACTCAGCATTACATTTGGTGTTATATCAAAAAGCGTTGAAAGACATGATCTCTAACAAAAATAAAATCATGCTATATTTGATAGGGGAAAAAAAGTTACATATAGGCAGCTACTATACTTTTGGCTTAGTGACCAGAAAGATGAGATAGGGCTAGATTTTTTAATGATCAGATCAATTTTATTTTATTACTTTTCTCACAGTCCTGGAGTATTGCTATCACACGTTGAACAAAATGGTCCCCAATTCCCTCCTACTCCTCATAAAAGCATTTCAGAAAGTCATTCAAATCATGGAAATCAAAATAATTGTTAGGAAAGGTGGAAGGGGAAAAATGGTGTATGTGCATTTTCCTGCAGGATTTTATGAAAAATGAAAGGTCAAGTTGGTTTGATCCAAAAAATCGTTAGAGCATACTACTCTGCTACATCGATCATCAGCTCCTATTGTTAAATATCTGTAAACCTGAAGAAATCTTTTATTTTGAATGCATATGTGTCTCCATTGAGTCAAGAGGGCTGAAATAACTTCTCTTCATGCCTCACTTAGTACAGCTTCTCTGCCACCTCTCCTATTCTCATGACTACTCTGAGATGGAGTCCATTTTTTATTACATGCCTCTATTGAACAAGGGCAGACCCTAAGTAATCTTTGTTTACAACTTATCAGGAGATGAACACTCAGCATTAGAGTCCTGAGAAAAACTTTATAAAACAACCATGATGTATAACTTGACAAATACTTAAAGTAAGAATACTGGAATGACACTAATTAAATATTGATGCTCTTTTTCTACATCTTAAAAGTAAACTGGGGTAAAGCATGCAACTCAAATGGTTCTGCTGACCAAATATTCTAACTTATAACCAAATTTGCTGATCCTCCCAAAAAATTATTCTAAAAACTTTATTTGTCAGAAAGTATGCATGAATCTCTCTCCTGCCTGTTCAACGAGAAAATGTGGTGAAAATGAACATAATAGACATATATAAACCCGCCAGGCACCAGGAAGTCTATTGTAAGAACTACAATTCAGATTTATGACTTTAAATTTATAGTCACATGTGAAAGGGAATAAGTGCATGGTCTACAGTTTATGGTATCAGTATGTGATATTGAGTTTGTCCCCTGTACACCTTGCATTAATTTTAATCCTATAATCAATAAAAGTATATGCATTATATTAATGAACAAATCACTGCCAAATATTGCATACTTCAGCCCATCACCTGCCAAGTGTCTAAAATGTTTGTTAATATGTATTTCTGAAAAGTGGCTTTTACCCTCATAATCTGACACTTACAAGCTAACTGTATTAATTTAGGCAATTACTCAAACCCCCAAGCTTAAGATCCTTATTTGTAAAATGGAGATTAAATACGATAATTTTGATGAAACATTTAGCACTGTACTTGACACATAGGTATTGCTCATAAATGTTAGCTATTATTACAGTTCTAAAACATATATGTATAATTCTATTAAAAAATCAGAGATCTCTGAAATAGTGTGTGGATGATAAAGCTTTATTCTTATAGATAGGGCTTTGAGTTACATGTGAACACCAAAAAAAGTATTTATAATAGAGGGAAAAATAGAAATTACGATAGAATAAGCTATGAACAAGATTATTACAGATATTGTTTCAGGTTTTAATAATAAACACTAATAATTATCACTTAAATTTTTTGTATAGACATACTGATACTTTTAAATGTGTATTTATTCTTAAAGGAACCAAATTTTTTTTCTGATAAATGTGCAACACTAATTTTGAAATAAAAATTTTAAATTTCACAATATAAAATAAATCTGAATATACCAGTAGGAAAAAATATCAAAGAAAATATTTGCTTACTGAACAAGATCAAGGGACTTGTAAAAAGAAGTAGGTGAAATGTCAGATCTTAGAACTATATATTTTCAGATATTAGAACAAAGACTATACATTGAAATAAGAAAAGTTTTCCTTCATATGCATGAAGAAATTATTAATAAAATAATATCATTAGGAAAAAAGAAACTATAGCCTCTCCTTGCCTCATGTAATGTAGTTTTCCCATAATGTGCCTAGAATAGGCAGGAAGGCTCATCCCAGAGTCTGACTTTGTTCCCAGAACAATGATGCAGTGAAAGTGAGCATACATACATGCTTCCCATGCACAAGTCCTCATGTACATTTAGCTCTCTTGAATCTCTTAATAACTCTGAATGGTAACTTCTAACAGTCCCTTTCTGCTTTGAAATACATATGGTGGAGTTGATAGCACTGATCTAGGACTGCCTTTGAATTCACCCATCAGAGACCAGGACAGATGCAAAGAACTCAGATGGTGTCAAGGACATCTCCAAACTGCTTGGGCTAAGGTGCATAAAATCTCATTTTGATGTGTCCAAGACCTAAGGCTGGGATTATATTATAAATTTTAAAGAACTTTAAATATAATTTAAATATTAAATATTTAACAAATATTGGTTAAATATTAATGAAAATCTTTTTAAAATATTATATATAAATTTGTTCTTTTATATTTTAAATGTTTTATAAATTCATTATAAATATATCATGTTAAGTATGTTGATATCATAAATAAAATAAATTTAAATATTAAACTTCTTGCCCAAGTCACTCTACTTAAGATTAACAAAATAAGTTGAGCAACATTTATTTTAGTGTGGTGTTTAAGCTTGGGGGCTAAACAAGTACTAAATGGCTAATATTCTAAATATCCTGGTAGCAATTTAGAGCAATTAATAAAACTTATGCTTACAAAGACTTCCTTTTAGGAAGCATCAGATTCTGATTTTGGAAATAAGCTAGAAGAAAATAGGCATCAACTTTGCATATAGAAAAGTAAGTAAGAACAGAGTGATCATCTCAATTAAGATTCTAAGATATAAATCTTAATTTAAAACCAGTCTTGCCTTTAAAAAGCTTTTTACAGCTTTGTAATGAGAAATACAGATGTGAGAAAGAGGAAGATCCTGTTCATTTGAAGTCTGCGATTCACATTGTAGAAGGACTTGACAAGACAATGCAGGAGTTCTCTTCAAGTACAAGCACTGTGACTGTTGACACTTCCCAAACACTGAGCCGCTTGTTAAATACACTGAAGGAACCAAAGGAAAATTCCTGCATGAATTATCTCTTCTCACCTCTTCAGCAAGTTAATAAGATAACTTTTTTTTTTAAAGAAGACTTTCAATGTAGAATTCATTGTAGTTTGGCATTGAAATTTGAATTATACCAGTCTTCCAGTTAATGAGTTTTTCAAGAGTAAATTTATTATGAGAGTGACTAGCACAAGGGTAAAAATTTTTCAGACGTTTTTTAACTATCAGAAGAATTTAAATAATGTAGAACTAACTAAAAATCATGTTGATATATCTCAGAATATATTATTTCCCAGGTTTGCTTAGGAGATTTGTAAGAGTACATCAAAGATAAAAATACTAGAATTAATACAATAATCTCTTTTATGACAATGGCTCTGTGAGTGAATTGATCACATACCAGTTAGGCCTGGATCTCAAATGTTCTTGAGATGGATGAAATCTATTCTGCTAAGTCTAAACAGGGAGTAAGCACTGTCAGGGTGGCAAAGCTCCAAATTAATCATTTAATTGCTAACAAGTGTGTTTTATTAAATAATTTTCTTTGAATGATGTTTCCCCCCTTTGTTCCCAGTCTTGAACTGGTATTGCCAATATACTCCTGCTATTATGAAAACTTTATTAACCTTGTCATTCTTCTTCTTTGGTGGGAGGGGCAATGGGGACTGAACTGAGCCACATCCCCAGCCATACTTTTTGTATTTTATTTAGAGACAGGATCTCATTGAGTTGTTTAGCGCCTCTCATTTTGCTGAAGCTGGTTTTGAACTTGCAATCCTCCTGTCTCAGCCTCCTGAGCTACTGGGATTACAGGCATGTGCCACTGCACCCTGCTAACCTTAGCATTCTAATTAGGTTAAAGATTCATATTTTATTTTTACCCATGTTTTTTTACCCATAGGAAATCTTACATTTAATAACATATACCGTATATTATACTATTAGCCACCTGCTTTAAGAGTCCAAACTCTGTGATTTGATTTCCTTGATTTGAATGATCTTCTAACATTTTTTATATAGGTGGCATGGTCAGTTAAATTCATCTGATGGTCTATTTTCTCACATAAAGGGGCATCTAATTCCTGGTTGTTATGAATAAAACAATGCTCAAAGTGCTCAGGACACTGTTTAACAATGAGTAAACAGAAAATGAATAGAAATTGCAGCTAATATTCT